GCGGCGGCGACGACGCCGACGACGACGACCAAGAGGACGACAGTGTCAGTCGTGACACGCACACGAACGCGGACTTTCCACGGGGCCCCATCGGTGTCTGGCTCTCTGTATCGCGTGTCTATGTACTCGGCGTGTACGCATTAAGGACACCCAGATGCATGCCCCGATGAAGTCACCGGTGTTGCTGCACTTGCTGAACATAAGTGCGAATTGCAACACCACTCCCGTACTCCGCTCGTCGCCACCCTCCGCTTCGCGCACCCGCGCTAACGCGAGGAGGGTGGTTCGCCAAGTGAGTGCCGTTGCGTGCATAACGTGCGGACGCGCATACTAATTACGGCGTTTCCATTTTGCGCCATCCAACGCTATCGCTATCTGCCATACCAGGCCCCTCCGTGCCGTTTCCGAAAGCTTTGCAGTGCCGTATCTAAAAGGGTCAGTCGCGTTTTTTTCTACCAAGAACGATGAAAGAAACACTCTCGCGATCTCCACGAAATTGCAAGGATCATCTTTGTCGATCGACGTTCGGCATCGACCGATCGGTATTATTTCTTCTTCGGGACATTTCAGTAATTTCCATCCAAGTTTTCCAATAGCGCGATCTTTGTGACAACTCTTCCGATCATTGCAGAAAAGATAAAACCCCGCAATTCGATGCAGATTAAACGTCGATATCGTAGAGGAAAATAGAAAAAGGGACGAACAGGAAAACAGTTGCTTTGGAATCACCTTCGTGTCACGTTCCTGATGGTTCGCGACTCCTGTCGCATCCCTTCAGTCAACGAAAGGAGCCTTTAATTAGCATTTCGATCCTTGGAAGGGCCGTTTACAACGCGGCGTCGAGCTACTCGTCGTCGTTCGCGACTGCAGCATCGACAGAGATGGAAAAAAGAACGTGGAGAAAGACGCCCGAAACGAGGACGAAGAAGGGAGTGAGACGAATTCAGCAGTCCTTTTGTCAGCTTGCCTCGTCACTTCGTATTCTGGTAATTAGTTCATTTGACTGTGCTAATTACGTTACTTTTTGATACCGCACAAGGGAGAAGCTGCTAGCCGTGTATACGAGAAGCTCGTAGTAACGCGAGCGTGCACGTAAATCCGCGCAGAGATCTTTTTTTTTTGGAAATTCGAAAGCGACACCGCGCTTCCTATTAGCTGCGACCCCTTTTCTCCGAGAGCGAGGCGGCTCGAAATTTCACCCCTTCTTGGATACAAACATCGTCCCCGAGCCTCTACGTATTAACGTTTTTAATTTTCGCTTAGAATGCGTTCGTTTTTAATTCGCAAAAGTACACGAGAAAATTCGATAAAAAATTCATTAACCGAAGCGACAAGCGTGAAAAGGAGAGGTTGCTTCGAACTTTATGGATTTGCGATAAAAATTGATAGGAGATTAGTTACTCTATCGTTTCGTCTTACGAAATTTCTGCTCTCTTCGAATCTCGTAATTAAATTGACACAGAATGACAAGTATCGAGGGAAGAAGGTTCAAATTAAAAGAGAAGAGCTTCGATCTCACGATTCGGTAAGTCTCACCCCCCTGTAGCGGGTGTTTATCTCGCGTCCTCTCAACCTTCTAGCCCTCTCCGGTGGCTGCTCCAGCCTCCTATTAGGGGGCGTCGGGACGGTACGCGACGCTACGTCGCCCTTTTGCCTGTTATTTAATTGGAATGTGCAATTGAATGACACTCGGTACAGCAAGTAACGGGAAAGAGTTGTCGCCACTGACTGTCAGACCTAACGACGTCATTGTGGGTTCCTACTTTTCAGCCACTTCAATTTCTTTTTTTTTTACCAGACACTCGCGACGATAGTTAACACCTTCAACAATCGATATCGTCCGGGTTCTCGAAACAGGCTGATTTCTATCGTCGCGGAAGGAAGATACGATCAAACAAAGAAAACGGGGATTCGTATATATCCGCGTGAATTCTCCACGACGATAATATGACGGTGTCACGGAATTCCACGGAGATTTTCCGGATCGTTCCCGTACGAACGTACGAGATTGCCAAAACGGCTATTATAACGAACCCCGAATCGAGCCACGGTCAATAAAACGAGAACTGACAGGGGTTGATTGACAGCTGAAGCGACCCAGAACCGAGCTTTATTGTCGCCCTTGGGCACAACACGATCGTGGTACGGGCAGAAATAATTCCTGCAGGACTTAAGGGATGACTCCGGCTCTCTTAATTCCTGCGATACGCTTTGCAACCATATGGGGCACAGAATTCTCTTGTAAACGTACCTGTCGATGCGTTCTCAATGCGTCGACAATTAATACCCCGAGTTACGACCTAAAAATACATGGAGAAATCGATCTGGAATCGTTCGTCGGATCCCTGTGGGTAATGGAAGTTTGGATTTTGTTCGATTATCGAGTTACGTAACGGATCATTAAAGGAACGGTCGACGAGCTCTTCTAAAAACTTATTTCCGTCGATACGTCGTATCGTCATCGGATCTCGTCGGATGAAAAAGTTACGAGTCGCGGGTACTAAACTTGACGAGACGCGCTAACAAGGCGCAACCGAGCGTCGGTGTTAGAACGAAAGAAGTCCCTTAACGAGATCAGCTCCGTGGAAAGACGCGGTGATACAGATCCGCGAGATATCCCGTAGGATTGCAGCGGAGACGGGGAGACAACACGGGAGAGAGATCCTTTGACACTCCGCGAACAAGCACGACAGAGCCGGTAGAAGGTGAAGAGAGGATAGGCGAGAGAAAAGAAGACGAAGGAAGAAGTCGGTGAGCGCGGGGGACGAACGAGTCTGCATCTTGGAAGACTTCCTCGAGCTCATTACGGCGACAATAATTAACGTTGCTTAAAGTGTCGTTATGGAAATAACCGGAGAAGAGGCACCGTGAAGACGAAAGCAGGGCTGCGCGGGGTGCAACAGACAGCGTCGGAGGAAGCGGAGAGCGCTGGTCGAAGAATAACGAAAAGGATGGGCTAACGCGAAGCGGAGAAACCGAGCGAAGCGAGGAAGGGGGTAGAAAAAAAAAGAGGGACGATCCTTACGCTATCTGACGCAATCTACGGTGGAAAATGTTTCCATTGGTGGGCCGTAGCGGGTTGGCCCTCGTTCGTTGCCCGTTTGCACTTAGCCCCTCACCCGTTGCCCGGGGAATATAATTCAACGATCCTCCTCGGTGAAAGGCGGCCAGAACGAGCGGGGAAGAAGGGAAGGTTCGCGTTGAATGCCCAATTATTATATCGTGAAATATCTGCTAGAAAATTGGATAATGCACTCCCACCCCCTCTCTCTCTCTCTCACTCTCTTCGTGTCGCTCTTTCTCGCTCTCTCGCGCGCGCGTTCGCTTTTCGTTCGCGAGTAGGAGACGAGGTCTGGCTTTGACTGAACGGTAGGGAGTGAAAAAGAGAAGAAAAGCCGGGGGCAAGCGAGAGAGAACGAGACAGAGAATCCGAAGACCAGTCAGTCAGTCAGTCAGCCATATAGGAAGGAACCCGAACGGAGGGGGTGCACGAAGATCTGGCTCACGCACGGTGTGCATAACGGCCTCTAAGTGGGAGAAACGAAACCGCAGAAAACGCCAGTCAACGGCAGCCAGTATGCGGAAACCGCGGCGGAATGACACTCGTGCTCGCGCTAATTGGGCCCTCGAGGTGACGCCGCCGAGAGGGATGCTCTTCCTCCCTCAGGACCATCCTCTCTTTCTCTCTTCGCTTCTCTTCTCTTCTCAGCTTCGAACTGCTCCTCCGTCTTCCTCGCGAAACCGTCGTTTCTCTCTTTCTCCGAGGCAGACGAGGGTTTTCGGGATTGAAAATGCTTGGAGGACGAGCCGGAAAGTGGGAGAGCGGTGGATGCGCGAGGAAAAAGACTGATTGGGGGTGACGAGTGAAAAGAAAAGAGAACGAAAGAGAGATCACATTAAATCTTACCGGGTGCACGCCTCTGCAGAGCATCTCTGGCGCACCCCTTTTCAAACCACCCCCTTCCCGTGCATTTTTCGCGAATTTCTGGCCCCGCGTTATTTCGACGCAAGGGTAGTCGAACGCGGCGAGGAATCGAGTATAAACGGACGATTTAGAAATGTTTCGCGAGGGCAGCGGTTCTCCGTACTTTCGAAAATGCTCAAGATAGAATATTAGGTCATTCTATAAAGTTTCATATCGGTTCGAGTTTTCGATGGACGAACCGCGAATAAATTATGCACTATAGGAAACGCAATGATTGGTATGAAAATACCAATGGCAGGAAATACAATGATTGGTACGAAGCGAACTGTGTATTTAAAAAGTCACTCACCAGGCTGTTAAAAAAGATCCTTCCGCTGTATGTAATTCGTCTGAAACAACGGAAAAGATTGGGTTGTTTTAGTATCGAGGGATAAACATGCTAAAATGGAACATTATATTTGAGTTATCTGGCAAGAAGCCGCTCACGACGTTCTCGAATAACCAAGAATTGAAGGGAAACAGTTGCTCGGGAAGAACGAAAGGGTGAAAGCGGGCGGTCGAGTGGAGGGAAGTCGGTTCGCGAAGAAGACGAAATCCTTGGCATTTAGATGATTGGAGGAAGTCACGGGCGCGTGTATATATATATATTTTATTGCGATATTCATAACGTTTACAAAGACGCCTCGCGAAACTGCCTCGTTAAATATTTTACGGCGCGATCGACCCGCCCCACCGCGTATCCGTAATGCGAGAACCGTCCAAGTGAATCGAATTCAATGGGAACCGTCTATAGATGCGCGCACCTCCGGCGAAAAGTGATGGTAAGACGAAGTAAATCGGGGACCCGTGGCTCAAGAAATACGGATAATCGAGCATGGAACGATCTGTCTTTGTTAGAAATCGTTTGTACGTTGCCAGGACCGCGGCAACCGTATTCAACGAACCCATTTCGTATACTCGTCGATCCATCCTAATATTTTAACATTTTGTTTTTCATCGCAGCTATTACGGAATTGGTACGTTCTACATTCATTTCGTGGCGAAATTTTTTTTTTTTTTTTCAAAACATCGTTGACGAAACAGAATCGTTCAAACTTTAGCTATACTCGCTATTATATGTTATACCGCGACAATAGCTAGCGTTCGCATTGTTCGTTTCCGTTTTAAATTAACCTTTTATCAGACGCTTAGATATACTGTTTAAGCATTCATAGATCCTGGCAATCCATTCGCGATTCGGTAGGACGAAACGACACCGTCTCGAAGGGGAGAAAGGATACGTTTGCCGTCATGAATTCTCGAGGTAAAGTTTGCCCATTCGCGGCCAAGAGGAAGTTTTATTACCCCGTTACGAAGACGTATCATCTTTGTCGGCAAAGATAGTTTTAATGTTTCTTTCCGCGCCTCTCGAAAACCTCGGCAACTCTACGACCGATTCTCGAGCAACGTCAAGCTCGTTTTATATTGTCTACACCCCCGTTTCCTCTTCAATTTACTCCGAGGGAAAACTTTCGCTCTCGCGTTCCATTCGGAAACTTTCCGGCGAATTTTATTCCCGATAATTCGCGAGAATCTCGAGACGATAGCATCGCGACTCTGCTAGAATCTCTCTCCGAGGATGAAACGGTCGCGTTCCGCGCAAGAGAAACGCTCGACCCAGACGGTCTGAAGCGTTCCCGGTATCGGTTGAACTTTAGCCAGGCGCGCATCAGTCATCCGAGAGAAGACACCGGGTCGAAAAAAAGAGTAGAGATAGGAGGGCAACGAATAAGAGGAAAGAAAAAGCAGATCGACGTTGTTGTCGTCGTCGACGACCCGTCCCTTTTCACCGGCTAGGAAGCTCGATACTTCGAGAGGGATTCACCGATCGGAGGAGCGGAGTCGACGATGCAAGAAGGAGCCAGAAGGAGCTCGAAACCGAGAGGAACAAGGGAGAGGAAGAGGGTGGTCTGAGGAGCAGCAACGGAGGAGGCGGAGGAAGAGGTTGCTAGTCGGGGCTGGCCCTCGACCTCGATTTTCAAAACGATCCTACCTCGGCGTCGAGACAAGGGAGCGACGGGGTGGTTGGCGTATTCATTCGACCATTTCGGGGGTAGTACACCGCCGCCGAAATAAATGGCCGAGCATCGGGGGCCAGGCATTCATAGAGCCGGCACTGGCGCGCACTGCTTTGCTCTAGTGCCTTTTGGAATTCCGATTGAGAAGCTTGCGCTCGCGGAGAGCAATATAGACAGAGTCGAAACGGAGCAAGAAAGAGGGAGGAGAACTGGTAGAAACAGACGAAATGGATGAAGGCTGGAACGCGAACAGGGCAACGTTGCG